ATAGCTGAAGAGACTTTCTTGCAAATCTCTTCAATGTGGCTACCCCAAGAGAGTTGGGCATCTATAGTAAGACCCAAAGATTTGGTCTTGTCGACTCTCTTGATAATTTGGTCATCAATTCTGATTTCTAAGTCGTTACATTGGGCAGATAGTCTTTGTCTTGATCCAATAATCATTAACTCTGTTTTAGCAACATTTAGACTGAGCTTGTTAGCTTTCAGCCAACGGCTAAGGTTATTCAATTCAGGGGTTAGAGCTAGCTCAAGCTCTGTTAATGTCTTAGCAGATATCGTAAGATTGGTGTCATCGGCAAACATTCTTGGTGCGGCGCCCCGCAGGGAGTTGGGAAGATCATTAATGTATATTAAAAATAGCAAAGGACCCAATATGCTACCTTGCGGCACGCCGCAACTGAGGGTACGGGCAGATGATAGTTTGCCACCGACACTACATCTCTGAGTTCGGCCACTCAAGTACGACGAGAACCACTTAATAGCTGCCAGATCGACACCCAAGTATGACATCTTGCGCAAGATTATTTCATGATCAATGGTGTCGAATGCCTTAGTAAGGTCAATAAAGACAACGCCGTTTAAGAGACCATTGTCGATATTTACCGACCAAGAATTTGTTGCCTCAAGCAAAGCCGTAAGCGTACTATGTAGAGAACGGAACCCTGATTGGCAACCCAATAGCAATTTGTTATCATCTAGATAACGAAAAAGTTGATTGTAAACAATTCTTTCAAAAACTTTGGAAATTATAGGGATTACAGATATTGGTCTATAGTTGTTAGGATCCGATTTAATACCCTTTTTGAAAAGAGGAGTCACTTTGGCCGTTTTCCAATCATTTGGATATATCCCCGTGAGGATAGACTTAGAGAAGATTGAGGTGAGAGAGGGTGCGATGATATAAGCAGCCATTTTCAATAATTTACTCGGAATCATATCAAGACCAGTGGCTTTCTTTTCGTCAATTTTTGACAAAATGTTAGACACAATATCAACGCTCGGAATTTGTAAAGAAAACGAATGAGTAGAGTGTTCTAAATAAGACTCAGGATCAATATCAACGACAGGAATATCTTGTGCTAATACTTGCGCAACGTTTGTAAAGTGATCATTAATAGTTTCCGAAATGTCTATAGGATTACTTACTATTTTTTCATTTACCTTAATCTCCAGAATATTCGTCGACTTACTACTGTTACGTGAAGTTAGCTCGTTGATCACGTGCCACGTTTTGCGCAAATTACCTTTATTGGCTTCCAGGTTTTCGGAAACGTAGAGTTTCTTTGCAAGTTTAATTGCGTTGTTTGCCTGGTTTCTTGCACGCCTAAATTGATCCCATAAAGCAGGGTTATTGGAGGAAATTGCCTTCTTTTTAAGGAAATCTCGTTTTCGGATTTTAATTTTGTGATAGTCAAGTACTTGCCGATTTAAACATACTCGTTTTTTTATAATAAACATTATTATCATTTTAGTATTATTATCATTGTTATGTACATGCTGTTTTTACTTGTATGTAGTTTAATGCATTTTGTACAGTTTTTCCCCTTTTTTCTCCTAATTCTTGTTAATATTATTTATAAACCTGTAATTCAGTATTTTCTGCAAGAGGTTTGAATAAACGTTATTATTATTATTATTATTATTATTATTATTATTTCCAAAAAAGGACATAAAGGACGAACATGAACAAGAAGGCGAAGAAGAGAAAGCTGATTAAACAAAACGATAATTTTGTCTTTCTTTTTGTTACGACACAGAATATTGAATTTGGCTGAGAGGAAATGTATCTATGAATAATTCTTGTGTAGTCGATTAAAGCTGAAAAGAGTGTGGTTGTTAATGGTACAGAGACAGCATACATCACAAAGTTATGCTTTTTTTTTTTTTTAACAACGCGCAGCAAACCTGAGCTAGCTTTTAAATCCTTTTGAGTCCTCTGGTCAAAGTTTTGCTTTGTTTTCATCGCCACATTAAATGTGGTCGTTAAAATCTACACAGGTTAAGCGTCTTTGATGAGGTCTGATTGCGTTATGAATTTTCCAATGCTATGTGATAGCAGAAACTTCATCAAGTAACAGTGAATATTTGCAGCCAACGTATGAAGTGTTTTGTCATACCTCGCAACTCATAAGTACAACAAATTGACAGTCGTCACCTTAGATTTCATTGAATTTAAATGTTGCAGATTCCACATTTGCCTCGTTTAAGGCGCAGGACCAGATCACGTGCAAGTTACTCCCTGGTCGAAAGTATAAGTTATCATTTCCCCTCTCTTTATTGTAAATGAGGCCCCAGTTTCGTATTCTGCACACTGAACATATACACACTGAAGATTCAACGAACACCTTCCAGTTTGATCCATTAGCTTGACCACACAGAACACAATACTTCTTGGTACAACACATTTAATGTGGTCTCCATTTGCCCTTAATTTTATTCTACTTTCCCTGCTTGTTGCACATATAAATAAAGGGGTGAGCATAACAAGGTAATTTTGGTTTTATCAACTGAGTCGATAATGTAAATTGGCCACCGCAAAGAGATTCAAAGCTGACATTTTGAGCGTTAGCCATTCGTCACGGCGAATGGAGGAACTGTGGGTTGTGTGTGTGTGTTCATATGCAGAAGATGGAGCTGCGCTATCGGTGGGAACATGGTAACGAGAAAACCAAGAATTAATTAGTTGAATGAAAAGAGTTCGTTGATACCGTGGGGATTAGGAACCGATTTGAAAAATGAATTTTTGTTCTAGAGTTCTGCAGTTTTCCGAACTGCCTGGATGTAAGGAAAGACCGCAGACTGCTTTATGCTGCTTAGAATGATTAGGCAGATTTAAGTGTCTAGCGACTGGTTTGGATACGTCATTGTGAATTTTTACGTCGCGAAGGTGTTCTCGGAATCGGTCACCTAGTCGTCTTCCTGTTTCACCAATGTATATCTTTTTGCAATAAGTGCAAGTTCTGCAGTAGATGACATTGGCAGAGGTGTACGTGAAGTGATCAGTTATCTTAATAGATCGTTTGGGTCCCGAAATTTTCTCAACGTCACGAAAGAAAGGACAAGTTTTACATTGTGCGCGAGCGCATCTGAAAGTTCCGAGTTGGTCTAGTTTGTAGTGAACTTCTGACCAAAAAGTTGCCTAACGCACAACCCACACTTTCTTCATTCGCTTTGACAAAGGGCGAACGCTCAAACATCAGCTCTGAAACTCCTTACGATTGCCAATTTGCATAATCGACTCAGTCGGATAAAACCAAAACTACATTACCGCACATATAACCGCCCCACATGAAATACTCCGCCTTGTTATGCTTTTAATGTAGCCTATCGTGTATTTGACATTTTGTTTTCCTATAGACAGGCTTGTTTCGCGCACACATATTACCTACGTTACTAAGATAACAGCTTCTTTGGTCAGGCTTCCGTGAACGCGCTTTCGCGTAAACACTCCGCTTTAACTACAGTACTAAATATCTATGATAAAAATGATGCGGAAAACTGAAACAAGGGGCCTTTTGGGCTGCTTACATTAAGTGTGAGTTCCGTTGTACGTGTGGCGGGATGGAGTTTTGTGGTCTTGAAACTCATTAATCGGCATTTAAGAGTAACGTGTGACTCTTTGTCAGTAACATGTCAAATCATACAGCATTGGCTACAAAAAGGAAAATTTGTCAGGAAAAAGGTCTATCACTCGTCCTGACTATACTAAGGTAAGGCAATCATGTTTTGATACTGAAAGTGGGGCAGTTTTTCTTTTTTCTTAATTGATCGAATATCGCAGTCTGACTCAGTACTGAAAGCCCTACCAGAGTGTTCGTCGCATGTTTTTAAATCCTTCGGTCGATCGCTGAAAAAGGTTAACGATGTGTTGACGCAAGGATAATAGGATTTAAGAGCTTGTGTTTCTCAGACAGGCAATCTCATTTTCGTGCTTATGGTTCTAAATTGCCTTACCACTTGAAAGTAATCGATGTCGCCGGCCTAAATAATGACTGCCTTGAGGTCGAGGTTGCCGCAGCGAGTTATAGTATACGGTGCCCATGCGAGCAATATCCTGTCGCTTGGCAGAATCAAGTTTTAAGTAAAACGATCTGTTGGTCCCTTTTAATCGTTTTTCCTGCAAATAAATATGGTATAGAATCTCACAAAGAGACAAGTTCAAGATTTTATAGAATACGAAGTTTCTAATAGATATTGATGCGGAGTTGCAAAACAAGTTCTGATCAAACAGGTGCAATAAGTATCTTAAGTTAAAAATGGGCAAGAATGTGGCAAGATTTGGCTAAGTCTTTTCTAAAGTATCATAAAGGCGCACTTTTATATAATACATAAAGGACATATAAAGAGTTACCGTGAGAAAACTCATTATGCATGTACAAATTGAAATATTCTTTACAGAAAGATTCCTTTAAACTTAAATGACTAAAATGCATGGTGTTGTTCTCATTGTTGGATTCAAGGCAGCGTAAGATGATGGAGACATTGATTATGAAATAGAGAATAATTGTCTGACCATTCGACAGCTTTGCGTGATCTTGCAAATTTGTCAGCTGTGGCGTGCTTCACGCCGTCATCAGAGCGAAACAATTTTAAGGATGTCGGGTAACCACATCACAAGTGAAGCGTCTGTGATGATGTATAAAATCCGCAGACAGAATATTATTACGGAAGTTGTTTCGGTCTTTAGATCTTATGCCGAATGCGGTAAATCAAGTTTACTCCGATTCATAAACGAACCATCATAAAGGAATCTTTAATCCATTCACAGCAGGATCAATTACTTGAGTTCCATGATTCACCAGCCCATATGTCGGCCTCGACTATTATTCTTTCCAAATGACCTTGTTTCAAGATGATCGTATCCGTGGTCATGAAGCTGCTAAGCTCATTCGGAAAGTTCCTTAAAAGAGAGACAAGCAAAGTATTATGAGATGCAATACTCCTCTTTTAATTTTGATTGAAGTAGTCTTGAGCAGGCGTTGAAAATAAGTGGAATGATGAAGTACTTTTCTGATTAGAGTTCTTTTCTTTTTTGTTTTTTTGTTTTGCCAATTCCAAGGATATTAATGCTGTATTTCTTAAAGCCGCAGCCTGCACAACTGATGGCCCAACTTGAGCAGACTCCCATTATAAAATTATGAAACGTTTATGCTCCTTTTCGTTCGCTAAATTACATTAAACTAAAGCCAAGACGAGGTCTCTTTAGTTTGTGGATACTAGTCATGTAGTCATGTAGTCATGTAGTTTAGTTTGTGGATATTAGTCATGTAGGATACTAGAACGTGGGCTGCAAGGTTTACGGTAGCCTCGGGTGACATCAGAAACTATCTTAAATTTGAATTGCCAGAAATATTCTTGAATGAAAGATTATATTTTTTTATGAAGGCCTCAAGGCGTTAAGTGGTTTATCAATAGCCAAAGTATGCTACTCTGGGTTCAGAAGTTAATCAATCGAGGTTTTTATTTCCACTTCTCTTACGTAAAAGTGTTTCAAGAATAGTCAGCCTAACAGCTAGTCCAATTTGACAAAAACCTCGCTTTTTGTAAAGCAAATAATTTTTTAGCGGAAATGTTGGGTTGTGTTTCGAAACTGTTTCTTGGTAACTACCTCCTGTTTTTGCACAAAAAGTCGTTTCAAGAAAAGTCAATGGCTGACCACGATTATTTGTCGCATTTGTGGCAGGAGGATCAATTACAGGAGATTGTTAAGAGTGATAAGTTGTGGGATCTAGTATCAGTTTAGTGTTTTGATTGATTGATTGATTGAACCCACTCGTAAAAATTGCGTTTCGTTGCACTCACTGCAGGCTTCCAAAAGTCTACGTATTTTTCAACCCTCCAGAATGATCTGGTATTTCAAGCAGCTGATGTTTTCATTCCTAGGAGTAATTCTAATATACTTTTAGAATATAAAAAAAAAAAAAAAAAGAAAGAAGAAATGCACTTCTAACAATATTTCCATCCAAAGAGGTGTCGATTGAACGACTGTACGAAGTAAAGCAACGAACGCAACACGCAGATATAACGAGAGTCCTTTCCTGAATTTTTACAACTATCATCATTCATTGATCATACGTGACATTCTAAAACTGAAGTAAAAATGATAAAATTGATAAAGAATGGGTCTAAAAACACCGAGAAAGAATCCATTAATTTGTAGTTTAATAGAAAATGTGGATATCATATTTAGAGCGAGTCTACGGTTTTCCAATAGCTGTCTTAGAACGTCGATTTGATATTTCTCCAATTTTAGAATATGCCCTATACCCCCTATGTCGAAAATGATTACAGAAGAACTTAGAAATTTTATGACTGATTTCTTCCTATTTATTTCATTATAATCTGATGAGAAATTTATCTTTTTTAGGGAATTCCGATAAACAATGAAGCTTATACGCTCAATTAAACATAAAATTTAATAAGATCCCTTTGTTTTGTTCAGCGTTTTACAACCTTCCTATTTCTTTGCAGTATGTTTTGACCTTAATTATCTCGATGACCAGTGGCTTGCCAAGGATTCTCCAATTCCTTTCGGCTTTCCTTTGCTTCCTCAGCCGGTACAGTGAACTTTTATAGATGGCCAATTGTGTCCAATTGCAATTGGCCGCATCTTGGTGGGCTAATTTCATAGCGGTTGACCGTGTTTGTAATCATCTCTTTTATGACTTCTTTTCGGCGGCGTTCTGTATGTGGTTTTACAGTTAATAGTTAGATATTGTTTTTGCATCAACTTGTCGGTTTCTCAGCCAAATTCCTTTGTTACAAGGCCAGAAAAGGTTTTTCCACAAGCAGTTTGCCTAATTAATCCGTGCTGGTACCGCACGAAAGAACAACCTACCTGCAATTCGAAAGGGGTCTAAAGTTTTTCTCTTATTTTTCAAGCTTTACGGCGAATGATCAGCAAAGAGAATCTAGCGAAGGGAATTGTAGATTTGGTGAATTTTTACTTTATCTTCTCGTATAAAAATATTGCAATTTTTCAACCGTTTTCAGCCTTGTCAATTTTTTCTTTCACATGTGTTATGACATAGGCCGAAAAGCCTTGCCGATAACACGGAAAGATTAGTAGTGGGAGGGCCGAGCTAAAGATAGCAACAAGTACGTGCTCGGCGGCTCCACCAGGGATGTCAGTTGATCAAATATGAATCTGTCATTTAAAGTGACTTTGCAATCATCAGTGGATGTAAAACCACAAGGGAAATTACTTCTTAGCTAAAACAAAGTACTTCGTTGTATATTCGGCTCATGTAGCCAATTGTAGCGAGTGACTCAACTTTTGGATCAATTTTTTTCCAGTGTTCTTTTTGTACCTATTGTGAAACTGAATAGATGTGCATAAAATTATCGATCATGTTGCTTACTTTTAGAAGAAAGAAAGCAAGAATTGTTGATATTTTGTTTCACGTTGAATGACACTCATTCATTTGAAATTTAGGATATATATTGTTCATTATATTTAATGAACAGCAAACTTTCTGCTCTGCTTTTCATAAGTTCGTTTCAAGCAGTCCTTTTTTTTTTAATTAATACTAATGTAACATGGTAAGCATGATGTTAGATAAAGTTTGGGGCACATTGTTATTTTAATTTCAAAGTCGGCATTCAGCAAAAGTGTTTGCAGGTATCAAAGAGATAGTGTGATTGAAATTAATTAAATAAACACAGTCCACAAATTGCCTGTTAACCTTCTATTAGTAAACGATTTGATCAAAATTCTTGTTTTCTTAGGCAATGGTTTTCAATAATCAGAATGATCTAAAACTAAGGAACTTTTTTTTTTATGAGATGGGACATATTCTGCCTCTTCATCTGCGTACAATCTCCTATTCAAGGTGTTCAAACGAAGGCAGTAGAAATATCAAATCACGTCTGAATTACAAACGATGATTGGGTATTTGAACACGTCAGTTTTCAGTTCAAGGTCCAATCAAATTGCTCTATGGAGCGGAACATTGTGAATATTGAAATATGGAGTAGTTCGTGCTTTCTGCTCTTTTAATTTAATAAATTTAATAAGACATTTTCAAAGCAATCTATATGCTCTGATGATCTGTCAAACATAACACCTTACGCAGAGAAGATTTATGACTCAATATGTGAAATACCAACATGCTTGTCTATATGGGGGTAGAAACTGTCCTAATTTGGCTGAAAATTTCAAAGATTTCAAAAGGACGGTCTAAGACTACATCTGAAGAAAAAAAAACCTTTTTATTGAAAAATCATCTCTTGATGACATCATCTCTTTCCCCACGTACGCTTAGTCGTTCTGCGAAGAGGAACAAAAAGTTAACTGAATGAAAAATGTAAACCCTGTTCGGAATACACCTCGTAAAAAGCTTTCAGGCAAGTTTCTCAAATATTCCTTCCCCATATGCGACACGAGTGAAAATGGAGTACCTATACTTCTAGAGTTATTTAAGTTGTTAGTGTACTTAACTCGCACGAGCTGACCGCTTTAACTTTAAGCAATTTCTTGATGACTATATATGAGTCGCTGTCGTCCTTCGGCGGTGTCCGAGTTAGCTATCAATTTCCATTATAAAGAGAAATTTACCTCTTACTTCAATAAAAGTTATTATAGAATTTTAGATTAATTATTACCTGAGCCTAGATATTTTTGACATGAGAACGGACAAAAGTATAGTGTGAATGAACGAGCCTGAGAAGTTCATTGATAATTCAGCAAACGATAAGATTGTGACAAGATTGGTTGACGAGTTTGGCGTGCGTTTGTTCTTTCTACAAGTATTGTCAAGTTGACAGTGCTATAGATTTACTGTACAAGCTCTTCGACAGAACAAAATTTGTGTTAATAAAGGAGAAACCGGATCAAATAAAGACTAACCTTCGAGGAGAAATGGTGTTCGCGAGGAACCGTTTTCTAAAAAAGCAAAACCGTTAGCTCTACCGCTTCCGCTGGATAAGGTGCAGTTAAGATAACACGACTAAAAAATAACGGAGCTTGTCGTGCAATTGTGGTGGAGCTCTGTAAAAGCCTTCTTAAGGGGTAAGTCCGCCATGGCAAAATGGGCGGCACATCAAAGAGAAACCTCCAATTCAAGTTATCAATAATGGGGTAGATGTTTGTTTTCGGAAGACCTCTCAAATGCCTCAAATGCATGCAAAATCACTGTTTAATAAAATTTGGCCACGTCTATGATCTTCAATTAAGTCGTTATGCTCTTATCGTAAGCTTTTTAATAAGAGCAAGTCAGACCCCTCTTAGCTATTCAAAAAGAGTCACTTGCTTCTTTAAGCAGTCTTGTCGGTTTTTAAACCAAAATATTTGCGTTAAGCCGCTGAAAAAAAAGGATGCATCAAATTGGAAACTTCAACACTCTCATCATTAAAAGTGTTCCTGCCTGGATCAGAAACAATATTTAAAGACACACATTCCGCCCAATTGTTTAGTCCACAAAGTAAATTAAAAATTTTGATTAATTCCGGTCGGCCCAATCAGGAGAAAGATCAAACAAACATTTCATTGATGACAGGATTTATACTCGAGAACCTCTGTCACCCGCTAGATAAAAAGAACGAACTTGAACCGTTTAAAATGGAGAGCCAACACGGGCTAGCTCTTTTCACCTTACTTCTTGCCACCATATTTGCTTATATGCAAGCTAATTCCAAGCTTTTGTGAGTGAGAATTTATTCCTGTGTTCTTGTACTTTACACAGACAACCGCATTTAATTCAAACTTTCTATGTCATGGCTTTGGCAGGTTTGTATCCTCTGTCGCAACTCTTGTCCCGAGCCTCATCTGCACTCGTATCCCAGGCTTGTCCAATAGGCAGCGAAATGTGTGCGACGAAAACCCAAAAGTCATCTATTGCATTAGAGAGGGTTATCGAATGGCTGCAGAAGAATGCAGGTTCCAGTTCCGAAAAAGCAGATGGAATTGTACTCTACTTGGTGAAACATCGGATTTCGACGACAAAGCCATCAGTAAGTGGGATTATCGTCCTCTGAGATTGTCTTAAACGTCGGTTTTCTAATGAGATATTACAAGTCTCTCGAATATATATCATGCAATTAACTATTGCCTTTCTTTGTCAGCCCACTTTAGTGGAACTGTTATAAAGTGATTGTTTGTTTGTTTGAAGTAAATGGCTCACTATTGAGTTGAGAGTTCTCTTATGAATCCACTTATGTTTAAGAGCCTTGAAGTGTTTCCGGTATACGGCGACGGCATTTCCATTTGTCGAAACTTTCAGCTTTTCCCGACACAAAAAGCTAATACCTTTCGGTGCCGCTTGCACTTTTCTACCGGCCGATCGAAATCACGGTAAAGCGAGTCAATATGATATTTTTCGATGTTTCTGTTGGGCAGTTTTCAACGAGTTTGAATATGTTTGAATTTGAAGGGAAGTCGAACATTTAAATGTTTAATTGTCAATTCTATGTAGTACGCGTAAGAAATGTTACGTGTTATGATACTTTCATGCACAGTTTTTGGTGAGACATCTGTTCTTGAAACAAGATGATTTTCGCTCTCGAGTAGTTCATATACAGCCTGCATTCCACTTGGAAAAAGTGTTTTAATCTATAAGTTTTGTTTCTAGAAGCTAGATTAGAAATTTTATATGCTTTCAACCTAAAAACTTCGACACGATGTACTAAATACCACCACCAAATATACAAAGAAAATCTTCTCTTTGACTGAAAAAAAAGATAAAAAAATGATCTTCCTGAGCAATTTTCGAGTGAAGGAATAAAGATCTTTGTATAAATGCCCGTTATTTTCTTTAAATGATCCAGAGATTGATTGGAAGATTTTTTTTAGCCATCGAACATGTGTAATTAAATGGAAAAAAACCCTTCATATTTGAAAAGCTATTTTAGGCATCTTCATCTCAAATTTATAAGGTTCTCATCATTTTCGATTATTTTAGTCTCTTCTTAATAAGGAGAAGTCACCGTGGTTGATAAGTTGATGAAACTGTATATTTCTGGTTTCCTCTAAATGTATTACATGTTTCGACTAAGATCTTATGATGATAGTAGATATGGGTACTTAGCTGACAAAATTGTATCACTGGGTTTTAGAGGGTTACTCAAGCATTTCATTTTCGCATCAATTAACTTGGAAAATAGCTGGTCTTAGAAAGTGAATGCCCAAAACTTTGCTCAATGAAAATAACTATGTATACATGGAATAAATCTTTGCCAAAGGATTTACTACAGTCTGAAACTCGTGAAAAGTTATTAAAATATTAGTTGAAGGATTGATACTGAAAAAAAAACCTATATTCAAGCTATATTAGGGTGCTAAAGGTAACTCGATTAAACGCTGTCTTTCTCCCTCGTAGAGGGCACTAGAGAGATGGCATACACGCAAGCTATCATTTCGGCTGGAGTTGTGTACACAGTCACCCGAGCCTGCAGTATGGGAAACCTCAGCGAATGCAACTGCGACAAGAAACTCACGGGTATGGAGAAAAAAAAACACTACAAAGGTTGGACGTGGGGGGGTTGTTCCGTCGACTTGAGCTTCGGTCTCGATCTTTCCAGTCGCTTCGTGAATGCACGCGAGGAGAAACACAATGCCTTTTGGCTGATGAACAGGCATAACAGCCGGGCTGGGAGGCAGGTAAGAAATTTAATTAGTTAATTGCTTTTCTAATTACTTAATGATAATGGCGGCTAAACAATTTCGGATTGGCCTGAATTGCCCTGGTCACACGAAAAAGCTTGTGGCCGTGAAATTTGCATATGAAAAGATTCACATTGCAGGAACTTTCAACCTTGATCCGAAATAATGATATTAGATTTTTGCGCTCCAATCTAAAAAGGTGTACAAAGCTCAGCGATTTTTCGAAACAATCTGGCGCTTAGATTGAAATTTAAAGAATTAATTGGGCTAGGAAAACTGTATAATAAACAATATCGAATGTTTACCGAGGAAGACATTCAAACTTATTACAAAGTAACCGCAAAACCACGTCGTAGGAAATTAAAACTCTGCGTTCAAAAATGTTCATATTTTTAAGAAAAATAACGCATGCACTCCTAATTAAAAAGTGCTAAAATGATTTATGATTAATGAAGTTCAACGCCGAAATAATTGACCTCGCTTAAAATGATCAAAGACAGAAAATGATGGAACTGGAATATTTTAAACTTCGCTTCCCTGTGACATGCAACAGACAAAAAGAAAAGGAATCTGAAGGATGAGACGTATTCTAATATTAGGCGTGCGTGTGGCTTATTTAATCTTGTAGTGACTCTCTCTTGCATTGACTTAGTCTTCTTTTATCTGTCTCGTTCATTTGGAGCTTATGTCTCGAAACAGTTATTGAGAACTTAGTCATTCAACGTGCAACAAAGGACTCTGTCCGGGTGAAATGATCCATGTTAACAAAGAAACCAATCAACTCGAAAGAGAACAAGGTTTCCGCTAACGTTTTTCGATCTTAACGGGAAGTATGACTTAGCCAAATTTTATTAATTTGAGAAAGTTTTGATTGAAAAACTGATTTTTAAAACGCCTTATGCCATACCTCCACCTCGCTCAACTACTGGCTGTTAGATTTAAAATTTATAGTAATCTGCCCTTTAACTAAGTTAACTTTAAAAACACCAGCTCGAGTTTGGATGAATTTCATTTGAAACTGGAATACGCGATATTTAAAGTGGCTATGCTCTCGGCTGGTAACTATTCATTCCCCTCGAACGTTTTTTTTTAACTTACGTTGTGTACACGTAGTACCCTTTGAGGAAAGTCAACGTTTTGATGAAAGCAATCAGTTTTGTTTCAAACATGCGCTGGAATTTATTGCCTAACGTAGAAGTAAACGAAATCATACTGTGAAGAGAATGCTTGATACGCCAAGCTTTGCAAAGGAATGCAGTACATCAGCGATCGAACGAAACTGTACTTTCAATGGCGCTCATCAGTTGCAGAACGCAAAAGGGCTTGAGACATTGTAAATCAATTATTTTCAGAAATTAATTCGAAAATTGGGAAAGCAAATTACACCTACAGTGATACTTGTTACTAAAAGCGCTTTCCCACGGGGGAGCAATGTTACCTTTTGTGGATCCGAAAACCACCAGGCATGGTTCGAAAAGGAAGAATTATTTGGTTGAATTTTTAGTAATTAAAACAAAGTGAGTTCTCTTAGCCCGCCTGCAGAGATTAATATTAACGGCGGAATCTCTAACAGCTGGGAACCTGAAAACAAACATTGACGGAACATCCTTTATGTTGATAACAATTTTTTAATATGTCGAAAAAATTATTTTTGGAATCAAAGAAAAAATTAGTTTCCCACGCCTAAAATTGAGCGGAATGTTCCTGAGATTATTTCAGGAAACCGAAAGAATCATCTTCTTTATCTTTTTTGGAGGGAAAAAAGGCCGTGAGGACTGCAGAAAGTTTCGAGATAGCCTTCACTGTCGAACAATTACGAGTTTAATGTCTAGTTGGTTGTTCCGCAATCTGACAAAAAAGGAACATTGATGGCTGCAATTTACTGTAGAAACAGAATCTCAGAAAGTGATGCTATGTGCATTAGATCAATCATGGTTTTAAAACTTTATTTCATCGAGCACACACAAAAAAGGTTCCATTTCTTTACACTTTGCAAAGTGTTAAGACATTATAAAACACGTTTTGAAATAGACTCAGGACAGTTTGGTCACACTGTCTTATTCTCTAAAGTGCAGTTTACAAGCAAGAACCTCTCATGAGATTCACCAAATAATGTCGCGGACTTTAAAATGCCATAAGCGCACAGTCAGTGGTATTTGATTTTGTAGTTCATCTTCAGGCCTCTGCTGACACATTGCTTCTTCTAAACTGTAAGTCGTTATGGAGATTATTTTAACTGAAGGAAGATGAAATTCTACTGCTGCTATTTGGCCAATTTTCAATTTTCGGCTTAAAAAGGAAAGGTGGGTTTAATTTGAATAAGACTTCATCTTTTTTGTTCTCACACAAAAGAATACAAGAAAAAGATTAACCTTGATCCAGATATGATCGGTGCTGACTTAATCATTAAAATAACTTGCAATGACTCCTTTTAAAAGCAGTAAACACGAAGCACTATTTAGCAGAGACCTGTCGCAGCAACTTGTTGCATGTCCTGGCAGACCTTAAGTCTGTTGCTCTCTGTTTGAATTCAACCAAATAGCAAAACGGACTTTTACAGCTTACAGGTGGTTATTATAGCTATCTGGTAGTTTAGTCCTAAGTGAGAATAAAACCCGTAATTACAGTACATCAGGCCTCTCCTTACCCATTCCTCCTCCCCCCCCCCAGAAAAATAGCTGGACATCATCGAACACTGTGTAATTTTGTGACAGAATTTCCTAAAAAAGGGGGGGAGGGACGTAGTGACTGTGCTAGTTAGCTGACTGAGGAAGGAGGTGTGGTATAAGAACGTTTACGAAATTCACACGTGAACTAACTTTCATTTTTTCGATCACGTACATATTTACGTATTTATATAATCATGTTTGGCCTGAATGGACAACGAATTTAAGAACTTAGTAATTAGACGAACAAAACAAATAATTTAGAGGATGCGATACAGAGATCATCTTTTCACAAAGAGGACGCCACATGGTTTGGAATGGTCACTGTCTGTTGTTTGTCGAGGCGGAGCGCAGCCTAAACTTTCACTTAAACCTGGGACGTTTTTCTCGCTTACTCTAGGTTGTCAAACAGAAATTGGTTAAAGTTTGCAAATGCCATGGATTGTCAGGGTCCTGTGTTGAACAAACATGCTGGATGGCCCTTCCTTCTTTCCGTCAAGTCGCAGAAAAGTTGAAAGAGTATTACCACAATGCTTTGAGAGTTAACGCCTTGACGAGCGCGACCTCGGGAGGGGCGAAACCTGAGCACCTTGTGTTACGATCTAATTATTCCAAGAAGCCACACATGCATAGCCTGGTGTATCTGAATGACTCTAAGGCATTCTGTAATCGGGATCCGAAACTTCGAATTCCGGGAACCCGAGATCGCATCTGCAACACAACCGGCTCTACTGAGGAAGACAACTGTGATGACATGTGCTGTGGTCGTGGCCACGATACACACAATCTCACTGAGGTGGTTCAGTGTGGCTGTAAATTTCACTGGTGCTGCGAGGTCAAATGTGATGAATGCGTCACTAATGTAATAAGGCACACGTGCAAGTAGATGAGCATAATAACTGGAACTTGGCCGCGGCACAGCTTACACAGTGTGTACCGACGGACAAATAGCATTTGAGAGCCTCTAGGCTGAGAGTGAAAATCACTTTGTTAAAGTTAAACGATTAAAAGAACAATTGTCTAGCAGAATTCATATCATGTAAAGAAGAACATCCATACTTTCAGTCAGACGCATTAAAAACGTCGTGAAAAATAGGTGTAACTGGGACACCAAGAACAACTGACATTTAAGAACCCCAAGCTCTTAAAGTGCTTTTTCATTGTAAAAATATTCAAATGTCATGAATACAATGTCATGATTTCTGACGGAAAGAAATCATCCTAGATCAGATTTGATAACATCGAACTGACTTTGCGATTTAAGTAAACTTATCTAATTTTTAAAAGGTCACTAGAAGCATCACAAAGTGAAGTCATATTATTGTAGATGTATCTTGATATAAGGAATATTAAAGACTGATAGACCTGATTAAAACATCTATAATTCAAAGTTAAAGGAATATTCTTAGGTTCTTATACCACACCTCTTACTTAGGGAAACTATTTGCAAGTCTCTCAAGGTGGACTCGAGCCCGATCACAGTTTTGTCATTCAACAATAATTTATCTCATTTTTTTGTTTAGGTCTGTAGGTAATAGTGGAAGCTAACGCGCGCAAACTAGCCAATTGGAATAAAGATATCGTTTTCTCGACCAATGAGGTACAAGATACGCGAAATTAACCTTTCTATAGCTGACACTATAATACTTATTGCATTTTGCGTTATTGCGTTTCCTTGTATTTCATTTGAAGTACACCTTAACCATCAACAATCAACCGTCGACCATTGCATCGAGGGTGTAATTCTAATATTATTTCAAGCGGGGAGGAATTATTATAATGACAAATTATGTTATGACTAAATTTTTCGGTGAGGGAAGGCTTCACTATTTTCCCTAAACACACAAATTTCTCCAGCCTTTTCTCGGTTCTTCTTTAAAAGTATTCATGAAAACTATCCAGTACATTTACATACTGAGAATATTTATCAAGCCAGTACAAAGAAAAATTACATAGGAGGTGTGGTATAAGGCGAAACTAGTCTACTTTTAGAGCAATGTTCAATTGAGTGTCGAAATACTGGGTGATAACATTGGATTGTTTTACGTTAATCTGTGATAATTATGCTTAAGCTCCTAAAATCCATTCAACAAATTAGGTGAGAAACAAAGTCAAATCTCAAATTGTTCATCCGTTTTTTCTTGCGCTAGAAGCTGTTAGCTGGTTTTCATTTTCAGGTCTAGCTTTCGAGTGGCTCTTAAGAAGATTTTTCTTTGTTCTGTTCGGCAGATGCCATTACTTTGGTTTTGATCAGTTAACGACACTCATTAGAATTGCGCTCTCGTAAAACACTTAAACGAAATATTCATATGTGGAAGTGTGTTTTTCAAGTTTTATCGTATGGTCCATATCAGAAATAAATGTGACGACTATTAGGTTGTCCTTAAAAATGAAAAGATGAGCTACCTCACCGAGCTTTTTTCAAGCTCTCGTAAACCAAGTAAACGAAACATTCATATATGGAAGTGCATTTTTCAAGTTTTATCGTATGCTCGAGAACAGAAAAAAATGTGACGGCCATAAGATTGCCTTTACAAATGAAAAGATGGGCTACTTCACTGACCTTTTCAAGCCCTACAAAATTACCAGACGTGGGCAGCTACTGAAATTTGAGATATCATTTCCCTCAGTGGTGCTTAGACTGAAAAGAGCCTCTCCTTTTTTGGCGTAGTCAGACGCCCAAGTTAAAAAAGATTTGAGGGAAACAAAATGATGACGTTAGCGCGCCACGCAGAAATCTGGGAGTAAGACACCTCACACTCAAAGTTCTGCGCAGCGCGTTAACATCAACTTTTTCGCGCTGACTGGATTAGTTTTTGAAGAGCGTGACAGAGTTTTCCGAAAAGAAGAGGCTGCTCGTAATCTACCTGGCGCTTGGCACAAGTATCTCTGTCTACATTTTCAGTTTAAATTGTCAAAACAGTGGCTTTTTGATATTTGGTTGGCGGCCACGGGTGGCTAGAAGTAGTTGTATTCTACAATCGGTCGCCGTTCGCGTCTTTGAAACGTTTCCTTAAAGAGAACCTCTACTGGTAAAACAAACTGTCGTTGATCAGTTATAGCTTGAAAGTTACATTATGGGTTATTTTAAACATGGTTGTTCTGACGCCCTTGAGAATCAAAGGACAGAAGAGCTATTTTTTGATGATAAAAGTTGCAACCGTATGACGTGATACGATCCAAAATGGCGTTCACCAGGAAATTGCATGTATTGTGAACATTTTTTGTATCTTTTGGCTCTTGTTTCGCAATTTTTCTTGAGAATCTCCACACTTTAAAATATTGTCACATTTCAGTGACAACTTGTCTCGCCAATAGAAGCTTCCTGTAAATTCCCTATCTTCGAGCAACGGCGTCTTCACAATTGGAGTTATTTATTAGATTAGTCGTTTCCTCTAAACTTTTAATTCATTGCAGGCTACTATCGTTTGCAAGTATATATCATTTATCATATGATATGACATTCAAAATAAATCGGGGCGGTGTGTAAATCATTTATCACCTGGTAGTTCATAGACAACTAATTCGTAACTTAAAATGACTCCATTTGTGAAGTTTTTGTTTCACAGAGGCTTTAGAATGGACTTTCCAGTTAATGGTTCCTGGCATAAATAAGAACGCGGGTTTCATATCTTGGCGTACACCTGATCCTGTTTTCCTTTCCTAAAAGAAAATAAAATACGGAAAAAAAAATCCATACTTCAATCTTTGCTCTTGGGAACTTTTTTTGCTAGGCTCTCAAAGACAGTCTCAAAATGCACTGCCGTTGCCATGGTACCTCCGGATCATGCGTGTCAAGAACCTGTTGGCAAGATCTTCCTGGTTTTAAAAAGATAGGCTCTCAGTTAAAGCAACGCTACCTAAAGGCCTCTCGTGTGAAAACTATTAAGTATCCGTCTCCAAGCGGTAAACGAGACGCTTATCTTTGGTTGGAGTTCGGCGACAACAAGCCTCCGTCCAGAGATTTGGTTTACCTTGAAAATTCGCCGAATTACTGCGATCGAGATCGAAGGAGGAAAATTCCTGGAACAATAGAAAGAGAGTGTAATAAGACATCAGATGGAACTGATGGATGCGAGCTGATGTGCTGCGGCCGAGGTTACAATACCCATGAAATTGTCAAAAAATGGCGCTGCAATTGCAAGTTTCATTGGTGTTGTTATGTCAAGTGCGAGAACTGTAAAGAGCGCATGGAAGTATTCAGATGCAAATGAAGAGGGAACTCAACATCAAGTTGCGTACAATGCACGCGAGTCATTCAAAATTTCATATTCAAAATTTTTTTTACGTTCATTTTTCCTGCTCAAGTTAATGAGTTCGTCGAAAATGAAAGTTAGTCTTTAAATAAACTGAAGAAGGCAATTTACACTTTCCGTTGAACAATGGCTTATGTCACGTTTCTATCCTTTTGAAAATGTAGAACTTTGAATACAAGTGGGAACTTTAAATCCAAGTTGCGAAACGAATTGATAAATCCTAAATATTTATCACAAACAATTCGGTAATGCTTGGAAATACCTGCCGGCTAACAGTCGGCAGTCACTATCCGGCCGCTGCCGACCGATTGCCGGTAATCTATCCATCAATTCATTAGATTCTACTGAGGAATGACAGCGGATCGTCATGGAGTTTAGTATCTGAGGAATAATAACACTAAAGGATTTTTAATGGAAGGCTGGATTTTTTTATCTCTGATAGTCAAGGTAAGAGGCCGCCATCCATTTTGACGAGGGAAAGTTTTCAGTTAATGGCTTCATAATCGAGTCAAACGAAGGGCTTAATCATAAAAGTGACGAAGAAATTCGCTTACTGAATTTATAGCTCTTGATTGACAGTGCTAAAACTCGAGAATTGTGAATTGGGTCGGCCATATCAAATTCGTCCCGGTAAACTTGTATAATAATCTTACAAAAGCTAATAAAAGCGCAGTGCGACTGCAGCTAATTGCAAAAACACAAGCACGTAACAAAGAAATTCTGATATCATAGCTGTCCGGCTCAACGCACTAGAATTCCAGATAAAGGCAAAATTTACTGTTATTAGCGATTTTCAATTTTTGTCCTTTCGCATTTATCCTCGTTGTTAGGAAACTTGAAAATGGTCTATAAGGAATCGCAAAACTCACATAATTCATTATTTCAATAGTTTATACTTATTATATTATTTATATCAACATGATTGTTATTCTCCTAAGGAAATATCATTTTAGCATATTTATAATGACGTTAAGTTATTGTTTGAAATTATTCGCCGTATAAACGATCATTATCGTTCGATATAACCTGTAAGTTGCTCGAGGGACATTAAATTATCAGTGTTGACAGGTTTTTACCTGGAGACATTGCTGTTCTGGTAGTGGTATTTGTAATCTGCAAATAATAAACACATCGATGCTTAGTTTTGTGCATTAGAAGATTGCTTGCCAGACTAATATTTATAAATGTAATCATTTTGTATAGACACTTTATTTTGAACACTGATTCAACAAAGCGGTCAAACGTCTGCGCATTTGCGAACGTTGTAATGACCAGGCGGCGTGCTTTCAAGCTGTCAGAACCAAGTTGTCTCACGGTAATTACAAACAACTGCAAAAGCCAGTGAGTCAGGGTGTTTTAAGAGCGTAGAACATTTTAGGTAAAACTTAAAACAGTGTTGAATTAATAGGATACCCGTCCCTGAATAAGCTTTGTATTCGAAAAGTCTCGAGTTTTCCTCTTCCCTACTTTTGGTTTTTTCAACGATTTCCTTGAAAGTTTCGATGTTGTTTTTGCTTATTCAACCGAACAGCGGTTGTTTCTTTTATATTGCTTTGAAATTTTGCGCGAAAAAATAGCGGCGAGGTTGGCCAGAACGGATCGACTCGCGCATACTGTCGGATGTCTGACCGCTGAGTTTATTGATTCAAACAGTGTACATATTAATTTCATTTATAACATAAACAATGTAGAGAGTAGGAAATACAAGTATAGAACGAATCGTTGTTTTGCTGTCTTATGATGTGCTTTGCATTTCATACAATTCTCTTAGTTTGTGTTTAAAAGGAAGTCAGCGACAATTCCCGAGCAATAAGTTACCCAAATGACGCAAATAACGGGTCTGTATTTTTTAAGTCAGTCAGGGCTCTCGTAGCATCTCTGTTTTTGTTTTTACAATGTGAGATATGACGCAATCCTCGACCAATCAGAGCACACACATTATGATAATCACCTGACCAGCATAATAATCCTTAAATATTGAAATCAGACTCTTCTGTGTCAAAATCAAAGGCAAAGTTCATTTTTAAACTCAATTGAGTCGAATCTATTTCATCCATTCGTAACCAGGCTCCTATCAATTTGTAGACTTTGAGCATTTTGCACCGCAGCTAAGAATGCAATTATTGATTGGGCAAGACTTTCGTGTTTCGCACAAAAGCCTCGTTTTTCTCCTGCGAGTTTGAAAAATAAAATTGGAGCTGTAAATATAATAATAACACATTGGTCAAGTAAATGCTATTCATTTTTAACCGTAGGCCATTTTACTCTCCTGTTTTTACACATCCAAGCTCGAAGACAACTCAAAGCGTAAGGACATTTTAAATCAGCTACTGCACATTCCTGATTTTAAACTTTTGCCTTTAATTCTTCAATAATCGTTGGATGTTGCTGATTATGATAGCGTAAGTTATCAAGCCCGATATTTTCGTCTTTTCTCTTTACGTAAGCCAAAGTCTTGATAAATCTCGGCATAATATGAACACCCAATTATTTAATCGAAAGCTATTGTCTGTAGGTAAAACGTCGTGTTTTTACCCTGTCTTTATCAAGTTGACGACACTCATTTGTAACATAACAGACTATCATTTCATACATTTTCTACTTCCTTTTCATTAACCTAAAGCCCACGTCGTAACCTGTCAGATAACTACTGACAAATAACAGTCCGTGTATGCGCAAATACCGTCCAATCGTGCTTCGCTCCATATAATGTTCTGCTTATGCGTAGTTGTGCCTACTCTCGTCCGCTTTTCCTTAGGCTATCAGAGGAAAATTCCCGAAAATGGCAGTGAAAACAAACTCAGTGATCGTATCATAAAACAATTATATCCAAAAAATATGGTCACTTGTCGGTGACGTGCAGATCAGGTAGTTGTTTGCCTCAGCTTCAAGCCTCGGCAAATTATTCATCTGCTCACCACTGACAGATCACGATAAATTGCTACTCCCATCTAAAAATTGTTGATTATACGCACAAGTTTGACAAGAGCAAAATCCAAGGTTTTTGTCTATGTTTTATTTAGTTTCATGTCATCTTTAAATTAGAGAGTGCAAATGGTGTATGTACCAGACAGAAACCCAAAAATTCCTGTCAATATATCACAAATGGTCGACGAATGTCACGCCTTTCTGAGCGAGTTAATTTGGGCCCAACAATAGGGTCTATGAACTTGCCACTTATGGCCATATATTTTTTTTCGAGGGACTATTAGAGCACAGGCTTGAAGTATCGATTCTTAGCTGGATATCTCAGCGAAATTGTGAAAAAAGTCTCACTCCTTAAACCCAAGGAAGAAAGAAAATGAGGAAAGAACCACTGCGCTTTTCCTTCATCGATGATCATTCGTTAGTCTAATTAATCTGGGGCGTTCAAAACGGAGACCACAAAATATGCAAATAATTGTCATATCATTTTTCAGGGTAAATTTTGCATCATGGAATTTTCTATTAGGGCTTGCTTTAGATGGACTATGGAGAAAAAGGAATTTGAAAACGCAGACCAAACTATATACTAAAGATAGTTAATGTTTCAAATCAAACTTTGCATAATCGTTGGGCTGCTGCGTTTTAGTAGTCAAATTTGCATGATTTTTAAGACGTCCTAGACGTAAAACTTTCCAATTGTATTGGCAGCGATATTTATGAGCTTTTTCAGTCAAATTTTTGTCAAACCTCCAGGTCATAACGCTGTTTACTCGGGCGAGCAGTTTTCATTGGCAAGATTCGTTTCTTTAGCACCTTTGCTGATGTATGCAGTGGAGAACTGTTTTTTGAAAAGTGCACACGACAGGGACTCGTATGACTTCAGTCGTGATTCGTAGTTGGTTATCGTTGATTCTATCCTCCAGATGGTATGCATTTTCTTGTAAATTATTTACGAAAATTTGGTGTTACATCAGGATAACACTATCTGGCTCATTAACCTTCGCTGGAAAACGTACTGATGGTGTAAGGAGAGGCTAGGTGTTGAACTCTTCGGGGAGTTAAATTATTACTTTCATGCGTCACCGAGCTGAAATAATAACGTATTCATGATTATTTTTGTGAACAAGGGTGAACATCGTGTCGATCATGTCCAATATCCAGCACAGATCACAAATTTTTCGCATTGTAGTTGTCTAAAAAGAGGAGCGGCGTAGAGTTGCTAACCAAGTAACTGGATTTCAATGAGTAAAAAGACCGTTAAAAAGTTATGGGCTGTAGTGAGGGGGTTCTAGAATTGACCATTTCTATAGGTAGAAATGAACTTGGCATAAACTGTTTTCGTATCACTAGAGTCTTGACTTATCATACATATTCCAATACAGTTCATGATCCAATCTCACTGCATTTCAAATCGTAAACAGAGAATGCAATCAGGGAAAAAACAATGACTTTTACCTAGTGTACACGTAACACCAATCGTGGTAGGTCTAATTATTCAGTTGGTTGATCATGTGGCACGACAATTGCAAAGAGAACCACTCAATTTGTACAACCAAAGAGAGAGTTTTCGAACTTGATAAGATTTTTTTAACCAATCTGGTGTCTTCCATCAATCAGTCAAAGGACTATTAGCTAGTTTTCTGCTATTCTATGATATTTCCAGATGGCAATTTAATTAGCATATAAATTTCTAATACTTCATTGTGTTGGAGTTATATTGCAGTCAGGCTACGCTCCAAGTTCTACTCCAATCGTCGAAGACCATTGAACAAAGAGTCATAAGGGTTTACGATTTTAAATGCGAAAGAACGTGACAATCTCCAGTAATTCATCTGTTTACATTGCAAAAGTATAACGCCGTTCTTCATTTTAACTCAAGAGGTAAGTGAGGGTTTGTTTCAGCAAGGAGGTTTGTCATTTGGATTTCTCCAATTCAGTGCCAGTTACAGAGAGGAGATTTGTCGCATGCTGTCTGTTAAGGACTGGGTTTTCTCCGTGTACCACTGTAGCATGATTATTCTGGGGGAGGGGGGTGTAGCCTATACAACAAAGATTGTTATGGGTAATGCTCTACATGTAACAAGAATCATTCTCAATCTGACAGAATTTCCAAGGTTTAAAGTTTTCCTTTGTCATTTGAAGTTGCTCGAAAGAAGCGTTTATTTACCACAGGAACACCAAAAAGGTACAGCGGTCATCCTTCAAACCAAAGTGTTTCATTGAGGGGTAAAGATTTGTTACCCATTTTGGAGCATCCACTAAAAACAAAGTACATCCCCCCCCTTTCTGGTGCGGAGAAATACAGTCGATACAGCAATGAACACCAAATGCCTATGGCGAGAACACTTCAAAGTCAGCTGTGCGACTCCTGCACTTGCACATCATTCTTAAGTGAAAAGTAGTAACTGGAGAGCTTTATCAGCAAAATTGACCACTCCTTACGATTAAAGTTACTCCGTCTAAATAGCTGAAATGCTTTTCGCACACACTTCAATGATCGCATTGAGTATAATTTGTTCACCGATGTAATCTGTTGCTTAGTAAATACTCTTTACCCTCTACTTTGTAGCTAGCGTCTGTTTGAAGAGGCTGATACTCTTTGCACAGTGGCATGAATACATTATGGTTTTCTTATTTCTCAGAATAACTTTCTAAGCGTGGCTTCGAGCTCTTCAAGGTCGCTTGGGGGTTTGAACAAGAACAATGACTTCTTCTTTCAGCAGAAGTTGTCTCTTATCTTTGCATAATCATCTTTTTCTTGGCAATCGATGCATGCATTTTGATCAAGAGAATGGAAGTTTTTAGGGAGTAACTTTTTAATACACAAACATGAATACTATACTGACTAAGGATAAGCAGGGAGATGTGTTGAATCTCTGGCAAATCGCACCAACTTGAAAATTCCCTCATTGTTCGAAAATGAAGTAGTGCGTGAAGTTGTTGTTTGTTTTGCATGGTCGAAGTCACAAACGTTTACGTCCTCAAGGAAACCTCCATAACAATTTAGTTACCTTTTTACTTTCAACTCTTCAATACGGTAAACGCATCAGTTCGAGCTACAAGCGGAATTCAGTCGCAGGGGGAGAGAAATTTCGTTTCTCGGCCGGTAACATTTTTCCACACGTTGCCACAGTGAGTGACGTGTGGCTTTTTGAGTTAGTCGGTAACAGAACCCAACTTGTATCTGGGAGGCACGCATTCGAGTCCCGTCGAAGCCGGAAATTTGGCCCAGGCTTCTCGGGCTCTTCTGCAGCTCCACTTATGAGGATCATTTCTTTGCTTGAGTACACAGCCAATAACAACCATAAAATTTTCATAAAAAACATTTACGTGTAGAAAAGGCTAAATGCGTCTTCTAATTGTTTTCCCCTCAATCAATAAATTATCTTAGTGATCTTTAACTTGAAATGCCCACCATGGCTATGAAAACAAATTCTTCGCCGGAGGAGAGAGATGGGCATGTGTCCTGATCCATGATCAGCCCTCCTAGATTTTTCAATTACTCTTATCTCAAGAAGTACTCCATCTTCCCTGTTTTGTTCTTTGATCAATTGGATAAATGTCGCTGAAAGTTCATCGGATAATGAAACGTAATCACGAGAATACCTGTGGAACAATGAGGGATTTGTAATTTGTCACCAGAGAGACTTTGTTCCAATTTTATACCTAGATGCTTTTTGTTTTTCATTTTAGCTCATCAGGAGAAAAATGGCAAAAAGTGTAGTCTCTGTTAAAACGTTGTTAATGGTCGCTTTGTGTATCCTCCATGGTAAGTAACACAATACTTATAAAAGGTTAGGAACAGTTGATGAATTAAGTGGGTTGTTGCAAGCAATGATGACCCTTTCTTTCTGCATAGTGACTCGACAACTGAAAGGATAGAAAGCTTTATTCCTTTATGTTCAAGTTCTATACTAACGACACGTGTGAGATTGATTATGTTAAAGACGATAGTATTTTTCAGCTTTGTTCCTTTGCCATATGTTTTTGCCTTTTCTTCATTTTCCTTTCCTTGAACAACACGTTTTAATTCCTCACTGCTATTTGTTAAATTGGGTCGACTCAAAAATGTGCCCTGAAATCCTACAGTAAGCAATTTGTTTTGAATACCACACCTTTCAGATAATACTGTCCTCGGCAACAATGCCTGCGAGAAAATCCAGGGAACGGATGCCACTTCTAGTACTGATCGAAAATGTGTGGCCGGGGGTTGCGCTCATGGGGGATGCTATGCTTTCCATGTGAACACCGAATTGGATTTGCACTGTATGGATTCCTACCCCAGCGAAAAAGCTCCACAATTCTACGAATGCTGTGAATATCAGGCAACGAGTTGCGTATTTGTGTAAGTAACTGACAATTTCAATAGCGAAAACATCACATCCGAGTCTTTCATTTAAACTATTCAAATCTACCTATCAGTATCGTTAATTACAAGAAAATACAGCACGCTTGGACTTGAGGGGAGTGCGAGGGGCCTGGAACGAGCAATGAATGTCGCTCCTTTTATAAGTAATATTATAATGTGTACAAATCACTTCGGAATCAGGTGTGGGTTATGATGCCCCAATCTAATCACTCTCCTGTATAGTTTTGGGTAGTTTTATTCAGGTGGTACAGCCCCATACGTGAACATGAGTTCCAGTCACTCAAAGCTGTGCTCACTTCCAACTTTCAAATTTTTTTACGTATAACGTTTTCGTAAGAAAAAAAGAGTAACATAACAGCTGTAAAGAGTTGGTGTGAAATTCAAGTCTATTTTGAGATGGAACAGCGACTGGAAGTGGAAGAATGGTGCTTAGATCAATGTTTCTCATGCTTCGATCTTTTCTTAATTGTGATTAACTATTTTTTTTTTTATAATATAAGATATGGCTCATTGATTTAAATTGCAGGCGCTTAATTAATACTGAGGTTAACCTGATTTATTCTTGTCCTAGCCTTAGTGACTAAATTGACAATGCTTTCTTGATTTGCGTGAGCTGTACAAAAATATATCAGGATGCTTTCGTTTCCGTCAACAGCAATGGTGTAGCAACAACCCGGGATAGCATCGAGTCTCCAATCAAACGACTCCTCGACCGTGCAAGTAAACGACAACAGCAACGACAACCTTACAACTGAAGTGTAATAGAATCCCATTCAATTGGAAAAGGACAGCAGTAATTAAACAGTAAAAACAGTTTGAGTGTGTTTGGATCCACTATGCTTACACATTAATTAAACCATACCATGTACTTCGCCACAAGCCACAATGTTAAACGTTTCGTACCAGCTAAGGATGCCTGAATTTTTAAATATTCTTAAGTAACCGGATACAAAGCTTTTTAAAATTAAGTTCAGACGTCTAATAAAGTGAAACTTACGTTTGAAAGGTATATGTCTCGAGCTGGGTTCTAATTTTCTGAGGAGCTCACAGCCTGGACATCAGTTTACGTCACACAGAGACTGGTTACAAAAAACATCACTCTCCCCCATACCTATTGGTCTCTAGAAGTGCGAGAGAGTTTGGCACGAGTCATAATGACAAGTAACATTGAGTACAACGGGAAGGTTCCCATGTATTCCTGCATGCTCACCTCAGGGACGGTAAGCGGAAAAAGTCAGTGATGTCTCTTGTGTAGCTCACGGTATCGAATAGGGTTAAGAACCTCCTCAGAGACACACTACCCCATCAACCAATGCAATGAACAGAAAAGTTTTTAAAATATAACATAGGTGTACATTAGGCATCGAGCCTAATAAGATGTACTTATTAACCAAGTGTGAGGGCTGGACCGAAAAGTATTTGGCTCGAATTTTTAAATTAACAACCGAGCAAAGCGAGGTCCGTGCTCACATGAGCGAGAGCCAAATATTTCCCTTTGGTCCCGACTAAACACAGTCAATAAGCATTTTATCACGTGACCATTGACTGGGTTTTGAAAATTTCGAAAATTTTGTTTAACTTAAATAAGACTAACAACAAACATATGAAACATATGTATGAACTGCGGTTATGAAACGTATATGTGCACGATCCTTCGCAGTAAAGCACTATTTGAGCAATAGTGAAAATCAGACCTGAAAAAAATTTCAGGCCTGTACGGGATTCGAACCACTGACCTCTGCGATACTAGTGCAGCGCTCTACCAATTGAGCTAACAAGCCAACTGGGAGCAGGCCATCAAATTAATTCGACATAAACCCGTAGATGATAAATCAAACAACAACAAACATATGAAACATATGT